GGAGGCGGAGGGAGGAGGCGAGGAGGCGGAGGCGGAGGAGGAGGAGGAGGAGGAGGAGGAGGAGAGGAGGAGGAGGAGGAGGAGGAGAGGAGGAGGAGGAGTTGGAGGAGGAGTTGGAGTTGGAGTTGGAGAGTGGAGTTGGAGTTGGAGTTGGGGTTGGGGTTGGGGTTGGGGTTGGCGTTGGGGTTGGAGTTGGAGTTGGAGTCGGAGGAGTTGGAGGAGGAGTTGGAGTTGGAGTTGGAGTTGGAGGAGGAGTTGGAGGATGAGTTGGAGGAGGAGTTAGTGGAGGAGTTGGAGGAGGAGTTGGAGGAGGAGGAGTTGGTTGGAGGAGGTTGGAGGAGGAGTTGGAGGAGGAGTTGGAGGAGGAGGAGGAAGAGGAGGAGGAGGAGGAGAAAGAGGAGGAGGAGTTGGAGTTGGAGTTGGAGTTGGAGTTGGAGGAGGAGGAGGAGGAGGAGGAGGAGGAGGAGGAGGAGGAGGAGGGAGAGGGTGGTCCTGCGTGTTTGTCGTTATTTCAGCTCTTTGCGGGCCTCCCGGAAGCAAAGGACAGGAGGAGTCGGACGACAGAGGATTGGGAGATCAGGAGGGGAGGGTATCGATGGAGGAGGGCAGCATCCTTCCCCTCCCCTGCCCGCCTGCACCTCTCCCTCCCTCGCATCGCTCCACCTGCCTCCTCCCCGCTCCGCAGCCGCCCTCCGCCTCTCCAGGGGTGCGTCCTAGCCAGGACTTCGAGGCCAGTCCCGCCGTGGCGACGAGGGAGCGACCCTAGGATTAAGGCGGGCATGTCCCTCTACAGGAGGAATAGTCAAAAATTGTCAAAAAGTAGTACGGGGATGTTTTTTTGAATACTTTGTGAACTTTTAAACGCTTTTTTTTGACTATTTCGTATTTTTCGTCCAAAATCCCCCTGTAGGGGGACAGGCCTGACCTGACCCTAGGAGGCTCAGACATGTGAAGTGCGCGAACCATGCTCCCTCCCTCCCTCGCCTCTTCCAGAGGTGCTCAGAGGCCCAGCCATGACAGCACATGTGAAGCACCGTCGCGAAGCATGCGCAATCTGCTGAAACACCAACCTTTCTCCTGCTCCTCCTCCTCCTCTGGTGCTCTTCAGTTTGATGTTGGGCGGAGCTCTCCAGGAAGTAAAGCATCGCGTGGAAGAGGAGAGGCCACGGTACGAACGCTAGCCAGAAGCCCGCGGAGAGAGGCTGGTTCACACTGCATTTGCGGATGATCAGGCCCTTGTGCTGCGGCCACGTGTTTTAAAGAGACTAATGCTTGCTATGCTCAGAAGTGGACCCAGCAGCAGAGGGCTGCCCCCTCACCCTACAGAAGAGGCAAGTGCAGACCAACAGAAGAGATTTCCAGCGCGGGCGGGCCCAGATCGAGGAGGGGTTTTCAATTGAGGTCCCAGTGCGCGTAACAAGCGTTTGGACTTTTTTCAGTGGGTAGCGGGCGAACAGACGAGGAAGATTGGGCAACATGGTGCAAACATTGACCCGGCAAGCGCGACGGTTGGCGCGTAGTGCCGTTTGATGTTCGAGCGATGTGTTGCAAAGAAATGGACGTAGGCAGGGCGTGTTTCTCGAATGGACTCGCCAGAACGGGTTTTCTTAATGACTCGGTGGCGGGACTTGTCGTAACAATCCACGGAGAAAGACAGGTGGTTGAGGCAAGCCAGGCCGCCTCGAAGGATGTGGATTAAGTTCGAGCACGTTCTACGACGTTTACGCGAACGTGTCAGACAAGGGGAGTGGATAAAGAAACGCAAGACGGAGAGGCATGGCGAGTATTATCGTTTGAGCTTACTTCATGGGCTATCGCACCTTGGTTCAGCATATTGTAAGCACAGTCACAAATTGTCCTGCCCAGCGCGGGCGTTGTCAGCCATGGCTTCACCGTTCACTGTTCTTCCTCCTCCTCCTCCTCGTCGTCGTCGTCGTCCTTCTCCTCCTCCTCCTCCTCCTCCTCCTCCTCCTCCTCCTCCTCCTCCTCCTCCTCCTCCTCCTCCCCCTCCCCCACTCGAACTCCGACGCCTATGGCGCCAGCCCGTGCGGCAGACCCTGCTCCGACGGGTCCGGGGCCAGTGGTGCCGGCCCGCTCGGCACCAGACGACGGCTTGCCCGAGGAAGCCCCACCACAGCAGGACCTCATGCCGTCTCTTCGGCCCGCGCCAGCGTCCAGGGCACGGCGGCAGGACCTCTTGCAGACACCAGGCGGCGCCTCCAGCTTCATGTCCGCCGACGTGTCCGTGCCCTACGATGCCCACCTGGACCTGCCTATGCCACCGTCCCGACCTGCGTTCCCGTGGCTGCCTGCCGCGTCAGATACAGGCACACGTTCTCCAACCGACTCACCTTCCTACCTGGCGAGCACCGACCTGCCGGGCGGCCGTTCAGGCGTCATCGTCGACACCAGTGCCTGGTTTGCGTAAAATCGTTCGGACGAAAATTTGGACTTGAGTGCGTCAAGCAGTCTGCCGTCCTCCTCCTCCTCCTCCTCCTCCTCTTCCTCGTCCTCCTCCTCCTCCTCCTTGCCTTCCCCCCGTCGTCGTCCCGTTCCCCCCCTTTCCGTTTCCCCCCGTTTCTTTTCTCTCCCTCTCTTTATTTTTTCCTCTCCATTTCTTCTCCCTCGTCGTAAGGCGTGGCGGAAGAGGGGTCCTCCCAGAGGTCTCCAGGAGGTCTCCTCCGCCCCCCGCTGTCCCTCTCTCCCCATCGGTTGTGTTCGGTGCCTTTAAATATTTGCGCTGGCGCCGCGCAGCGTGTAGCGCGGCACTTGCTGCGCGCGGCGGATTGGGCCAGCGGGGCCGTGGAGAAAAACGCTCGCGTGCGCCCTTCTTCCGTGCGCCAGCGCTGCTCCTTATCAGGCCGACCCTGCGAGCCCAGGACTGGTGTAGAGGCTCTCCTGGGTACTCGGGAGGGCGTGCGCACCGATCCTGTGTCCAGGAGTGGCATGGCACGGCTTCGTGTTGGTGTCTACTTGGCGCCCTCTCAGCAAGGGGGGACAGCGGGGGAGGGGATGCATGAATGGACGGATAGAAGGAGATACACACATATCTATACATACGTATGTGTGTGTACATATATATGATCTGTATATGTATATATAATTATATTTGTATATGTATATGTATAGCACAAAAGACAAAAGGACGCGGGATGGGACGGGGTGGAAAGAGACGGGGGGAACAGTAGAGGAGGTTTTTGGAATTGATTGAGCATTGGGGAAGCGCCACGGCAGAAAGGACGTGAACATAATGTCTGCTCGGTACAATGAGAGCTGGATGGGGCGTGTTGCCATGACGGGATGAGTGGGGAGAAGTCACGAGAGGATATCCGACTGGGGGAAATCCAGCCGGCTTCATCTCTTGGAGGGTCAGTCGAACCAGGGTCAGGCTGTAGCTGCGGTGGGAGCAGAGGTGGTGCTTCAGACTCGTGTCGCGGGCGCAGCAGTCCCGTCGTTACTACGACGACCCCTCCTGGGACCTCCTGTGCTGCCAGGATCGGAACTGTTTCAAGCAATTGGCTTCAAATTTTGCATCCAGGCAGTTACCAGAGGCCCGCTGTCTCACGGTGGCGTAGTCGTAGAAAATACACTGGCCAGGCGAGTTGGGAAATGGGATTTGGAAGTCGCTAGAGGAAGCGCAGGGTATGCGATCATAATCGAGAAAACGGCTCGTCGAGGCGAACGAACATTCCCAAAGCGGTGCTTGCCATTAGGAGTTTCCTCTTCTGCTCTTAAGGAACTGGGCCTGCCTGCCGCTCTGGCGTCTATGTTTCCGCCGTCGCCGCCTCGTCGCCGTTTCGTCGCCGCCCGTCGACTGGGCCTCTCTGCCGCTCTGGTGGCCATGTTGCCGCCGCCGGCGCCGCCGCCCCGTCGCCGCCCCGTCGCCGCCTCGTGGCCGCCCGTCGTCCTGGCCTGTCAGCGAGTCTGGCGGCTATGTTGCCGCCGTCGCCGCCCCGTCGCCGCCTCGTCGCCGCCAGTCGTCCGGTCCTGTCTGTCGGTCGCCACGCTTGTGGCGGCCGCCGCCGGCCCGTCGCCGCACCACGTCGACTGCACAACATATCTATTGCACAGCATGAGTTGCACTACGCAGTTTGTTCCTCTGTACAAGAAGCTCAGGATCTACTCCCCCCCCAGGATTCTCGGTTTGCTTTTTGGTGCTGCAGTTTACATATGATTCTGCCACGCCGTTCAGTGTGCATCTCATCGAATCATACCATCCCAGCCAGGCTGGTATCGATTGGCCCCGTTATCGTTTGCAGAAAGCACTGTGTGCGCTCCCTCGTCTATCACAAGTCATGCATTGTCAGGAACCCCGTGCAAACAATGAGACGAAGTCCACGCGCGCGTCGTCGCGCGCTCATGCCAAAATCCTTTCAGCAACCTGAGGCTTCGTAAGGATTCCAAAATCGAGTGTCCCGAACACAGGATAAAATCGATGGTTTTACAACCTGATTGTGAAGCAATCTGCGCGCTTGAAATGGAGCCGCGCTCTATCTCTGGAATGGCTGGTGCTGCCCAACCCCACGACTGGACATATCCATCTGAAAGCCTTGCTGGCTTGTGGTCAGCTGGACTGAGAGTGTGACGATCTGGCGGAGAGTTTCGTTGAAGGGCCTGTGGTCAGTGGGCGACGACGTTGCAGCATATTCTGGACGCCCGAAATGGGTACGGAAACGGGTCCCAACAGCGTGTCCTGTTCATTTTGAACAGGATTCGCTGTCCACGCCGCCGCGGCCTGCGTCCATTCGACACAGAAGGCCGCCTGCCCAACAGCTGCCGCTGTTGGTTTGGGACAACATTCGTTGTTGGGCATTGTACCCATTTTTTCCGTACCCATTTCGGGCGTCCAAAAATATGTCTGTCGAAGCAAGGGTGAGAACGGGGCAGGGGGTCGATGGACCGGAAACGGGGAGGAGAAGGGAGTCTTTGCAAACGGGGAGGAGCAGGAGGACAGGAGAGAAAGTGGAACCGTATGAGCGCCTTCGTGCATCCAGCATGAGGACAAGCTCAACGGCACCAAGTGCAAGGACCAGATGTCGCCGCTGAGCTCCCCTTGTCCTCCCAAGGTCTGCGGGGCCTGGTAGGGAGGAGTGGAATGCATACCCAACCCCCAAGTCCTGATTCAATACGCTTACACCATTTTGCCGACCCTGGAGTCGTGGGCTGGATGGGTGAACGCATCCAGCAGCGCATCCAGAAACGATGCCCAGGCGAATCGTCAGGAAAAGAAGGGAGGTGCGTAATCGTACTAGAAAAAAGCAGCAATGCTGAACTTAGAGAATTCTGGGAACCTCTTGGAGGCTTCCTGCGGCCCGTCAGGGAGCCTTGATGCCCTCTTGGGGCTTTTCGAGGCCCCCTTCGGGGCCACGGGGGTCCTGTTGGAGTCATGCTGCTTTTCTGGAGGCATCTTGCTCTGGAGGCAATGGAGCCCTAGATGAGGGTCCTCCGCTTTAGACCCGAGAATTCGCCTCTTCGGTTCCTCTTGGGACTATCTTTGGGCGCTCGTGGGGTACTTCAGGATTGTCTTGGAGCGTTTTTCTGGGCCCCTTTCGAGCTCTCGTGTGATGTTGGAGCTATCTTGAGGCATCAGAAGCCCATCGGAAACGCACAGGCTAAACGGCAACGATACTTGAAGCACGTTGTGTCTTTTGCAGGATTTTGACCTCCCGGGGGTACCCGTGACAGGTTCCGTGGCCGCTTCGTGGAGCCGCCTTGCTGCCGTGCCATTTCGCCGCGCAGGAGCTCTTCTGCCTTTGTCTCGGGTGGCATCTTGGGCATCTTCGAGGCGCCATTCACCAGCCTGAAACATATCCCTATCCCTATGATTGGCATCGCCTCATCTCGATGCTGATTTTAGGGATTCCCTCCGTTTCTGAGGGCGCATCCCTAAGATTGTCGTCGACTTTTGGCTTGTTAATCTTAGGGGTAGGGATACGTTCGGGGCTGGTTAGCCACAGAAAAGATTTGACCCCTCTCAAACTGCATTTTGGACCCCCAGTGTGGGAAAACGTGGAAGGGGGGGACAGCCGACCATGTCTCGGGTCGTCCCACCCCCGGAAAGCGGGGGCTGCCAGATCTTCGGGGCTCAAGAGACGGGTGTCAAGGCAAACGGGGTTCCGCCAGAGCGCCAGATCTTGCATGATCTCGCAGGGCCAGCGTCGTATTGACCCGGGCTTGGGGGCAGCATCCTGCAGGATTTTGCAGGATTGTCGCATGGACCCGGGTTTGGTGGCAGGATCTTGCGGGATTTTGCAGGATTCTGCAAGGTCTGACTGACAAGGGTCTGGATTGACCCGGGTCAGAAGATCCCCGAGATCTGTTCAACACGTTCGGTTCCAGAGCTCTTCTTAGATATCCTTTTCGTGTGGATTTGGTGCCGTGAGTTTTTCAATGTTCGTGTGGGTTGCGTGACCCGAAGCAAATCTTCGGAGGCCCCAAACTCAGGAAAGTGGGCCGGGATGTCTTGGGCCCTTCTTGGGCTATCTTGTGCCCTCTTAGGGACCCTCCTGGGGCCCTGAGAAGGGGGTCTCGGGGCCCTCTTGGGGCCCAAGAGCGGGAGGATTCCGAGTCCAGGGGCTCGAAAGTGTAGAGTCCGAGGGTTTTCTTCGTCTTCGGCCCAGGGATCTCCAGATGGGCCACGGCAGTGCTGTATATTCGCTTGACGTAGCGAAGCGGGCTGTACAGCACGCACGGCGCGCTGCTTACTCGTAACTCTGGAAGAGGGGGAGGTCGGGCGGGGCTGGGACGAGGATGAATCCGTCCCAGAGCGTTCCAGCGCGCTCTCGGAGCGCTCTGGAACGCTCCGAGAAGGCCGCGGCGCCCGATACATCCTCCCGAGCCGCTGGATCTCAGAGGTTCTCGATTCTGGATTCCTCCCCGTCCTGGCCTCTTCGTCTCGGGAGGTCTCTGCAGCGCCCTCGCGGCCTCCCCAGCAGGTCGCACTGCGCAGCTCGCGCCAGACGGCACTGGCCCCGCGGCCCCGCGGGGCCTCGGGGCAGGGCGGCCCGCCAGATGCAGCGGCCCGGGGCTCTCGCGGCGTGTCCCGGGTCGGCTCGTCGCCGCCGCGGCCGGGCGCGGCTCGGGAAGCTGGCAAGGGGTGAGGCCCAGGATCCTTGCCTGGGCGCATCTCGAGGCCGCCTCCCTCCGCCCTGCCTCCGTCCCGTCCCCTCTCCTCCCTCCTCTCTCCTCCCTCCTCTCTCCTCCCTCCCTCCGCCCTCCTGCCTCCTCCTTCCTGCCTCCCTCCCGCCCTCCTCCCTCCCTCGCCCCGTCCTGGTATCTCCTCCTCCTCCTCTTCCTCATCCCTCCGGCCTGGCCGGTCGCCCTGCCGGCCCCCCCCCCTCCTCGTGGGACTGGTCTTGGACGGATTTCGTGGCGCACTGGCCAGGGCTTCCGGTGAAGGGGGGGTGGCGCAGGGGGGGAGGGGGGGAGGAGGACAGCGTGAGGCGGATGCCAAATAGCAAGACGCGGCATAAACACAACATTGCGGAGGTCCGCGCGGATTTCTTGGATCTGCGTTGGGCCCCCCCGGCGGCGTTTCTGGCGCCGCAATTGGCGCGCTCCGCGCTCCAGGGAGGGGTCCAGCGCGGATCCGAGAAGTCCGTGCAGACCGGCAAAAGTGAATGTTCATGCTGCTTCCTATTTCTTCAGGATGTGGACAGGACAGGACAGGACGCGCTCGCTCAGCCCAGAGGCCGTCCCGAGATGGGCGGTGCGGAGGCGCCTCGGCGCCTTCGGTTCTTGAGATTCACGGTCGTCTCGAAGCGGCGCTTGAATTGCCCACCCGGTCGCCGAAGGTGATGTTCAGGATCTCCGTTGGCAGCAGTGTGTGCCCAAGATCCGCTTTCCGCGCACACGCGCTCGAGGCAATGAGCTGCCGCTGTGCCGCGGAAAAGGGGGGCCGGACGGGGCGGGCGAGGGGGGGGGCCCGAGGGGGCCCGAGCGACCGCGGGGGCAGAGGAGGCAGAGTGGGACGAACACGGCGGCTGCGGCGGCGGCAGCGGCGGCTGGTCTCCCGCGGCCCTCTGATGGTCGTCCTGCGTCCCTGTGGGGCCTCGGCTGGGACGTCGGGTCTGGCTTCTCTATAGATTCCGTTCTGAGGCCGGCCGGTTCCAGTCCAGTTCCCGTTCCGGTGCGGTTTCCTCCAGGCCGGTTCCGCTTCCGGTTCGTTTCGGTCCTGCTCGGTTTTGCGTTTTTCTGGTTTTGTTTTGGGTCGGTTCGATCCGGTCACGGTTCTCGATTCGGTTCGGCCCCTTTATGCTTTTCGTGCAAGCTGGCTCCGCCATTCTCGCCTCCCTCTTCCCTTTATTATCTTCTCCATCTGTCCTCGTTGCTCCTGTCTTCTCCATCCTCGGTCATTCGATATTATCCGTTTCCTCTGGGCCTTCTCCTTCATCGTTTCACCACGATCCTTGTGCAAGTGCTTTGCTAGAACCTAAGCGCGCGAAATAGGCACGTTGCAGAGTACGAGTAGTTAAGTAAGTAAGTATGCAGGTATGCATGCATGTATGTATGTATGCATGTTTGTATGTACGCATGTATGTATGCATGCATGCATGCATGCATGCATGCATGTATTGACATATGTTTGTATGCCTGTACGCATGTATGTATGTATATGCATACGTGTATCTATGTATATGCGTCTGCTTGTCGGTCTGTCTGCCTGTCTGTCCGTATGTATGTATGCATGTCTGTCTTTCTGTATGCATGCATGCATGTATGTATGTATGTGTGTATGGATGTAACTCTGTATGTATGTATCTGTATGTACGTATGCACGTATGCACGTATGCATGCACGCACGCACGCACGCACGCACGCACGCACGCACGCACGCACGCATGCATGCATGCATGTATGTATGTATGTATGTATGTATGTATGTATGTATGTATGTATGTATGTATGTATGTATGTATGTATGTATGTATATATGTATGTATGTATGTATATATGTATGTATGTATATGTATATATATATATATAGATTGCCTCCTGGGGGGCCCTCGGGTCCGAGGGCTCGAAATGTCAGTTCGGGTTCCCCATTTGGACCCCTTGTTGGAGCCGTCTTTGGGGCCTCTTGGGCCGTCTTGGGCGGTTCTTGGGGCGTCTTGGGGCGGGCCGTTTTGGGACCCTCTTGGAGACCTCTGGGGCCATCTTGGGGCGATCTTGGGGGCCTCTTGGTCCGCCTTGGAGTGTCGGGCCGCCGAGCAGGCGAGAACGCCACAAATCGTCAAACACCGACGGAACATCAATGATTTGGGCCTCTCAGGGCCCTCTCGGGAAGGCTCCTGGGGCTCTCACAGGGTGTCTTGGAGGCTTCTTGGACCGTCTGGAGACCATCTAGGGCATCTTGGAACAATCTTTCGGCGATTCGCGGCCCTCTTGGACCGTCATGGGGGCCTGTTGCGGCCCTCCTGGCCCGTGCTGGGGTCTTCCTGGGCCCGAAACAGTCACGCGACAAGCCGCGAGGAACCCCAGGGGGCACGCCGGAAATCCGGGGAGATTTGGCAGTTTGGGCTCCAGGCCCCTAAGAACCTTCAGGGTCGAGGATTGAGGCTTGGAGGATTAGGCACAGGACCTGAGGGTGCGCCCACTCCGTGCCCACGTGCACGGTGGCGGATTTTGAATGGCACGTTACATTGAATTATGGAGGAGCGCTCTCGCGATACAGTCCAGGGCGCACACAAACATGCTTCCCTTACATGTTGCTGGGCCCCTAATAAAAATGTCGCAGGTCCCACTACTAATTCAGAGGGAGCATAGTCGCCCATGCATTCCTCAATGGCAATCTGCGATGCGACTTTTTAGGCACGGCTAGAACCTAAGCGCGCGCGAAGCGCGCGGGGTTCTAGTATGTATCTCTCTCTCGACGTGTACACTATTTCTTTGTGTATATAACATGTGCACGTGCGTGCCCAGGCTCATACAACACAAACTGATCGATGTGTGTGTGTGGCGGTGTGTTTTTGTGCGTGTGCGTGTGTGTTGTGTGTTGGGTGATGTGTGCGACCTACATGATTGCACACATATGTATAGAGAGTGAGAGAGAGAGGGAGAGAGAGAGAGAGAGAATTATACATATAGAGAGAGGGTCAACAATATACAGGGGGGAGAGAGAGAGAGAGAGAGCGAGAGAGAACGAGAGCGATAGAGAGGGTTTCCATGATTTCCGCCATCACGAGTCAATATACATATATAAATGTATATATACATATATATATATATGTACACATACATATTTATGTAGAGAGAGAGAGAGACAGAGGAGCATACTGAGAGACAGAGAGAGAGAGAAATATAGAGAGATAGAAACAAGCATACCTACAAATAATGAAGAGAGAGAGAGAGAGAGAGAGCCAGAGGGAGAGGGAGAAAGAGAGAGAGAGAGAGTGAGAGGAAGAGAGAGAGAGAGAGAGACAGGACGAGAGAGGGAGAGAGGGCGGAGCGGCCGACGGATCAATCATCTGATTCGGGCAGACAAGATTTGGCTCCTCGCTGAAATGCCAGACCACCTACGAGGCATGATTTGCAGCGCCGTCCACGGCCTTAGAAGTGCCATTCGCCTGCTCTGGAAACCTTCGTCGTGACGAGTATTGGCCGCCGGAGCTGCACTGGATAGCGGATGTGGGGGTTGGACAGAACCCCCACCCTGACACGTCGATTAGTGAATTGTCCGTTTTCGGTTCTCGAGGGCGCCGCGGCCGTCATTTTCCAGGCTTGCGCCCGCCAGGTTTGGGCCCGAGGTCGTTTTCACGAAACCACGTTTTACTAAAGGGGGTTCTGTCCATCCCCGAGGATTGACATGGTAGGGATTGCCGCTGGCGGGGATGCCGTGCCGCATTGCAGCGTCGAGCACACGATGAAGCTGCGGGGGCAGCCTGCTGGACGGGGCAGAGGCGGCACCAAGACTGTTGGTGGACCATCGGCCTCGCAGTGCAGAGCAGCTGTTCTGGGTGCACTCCAAACAGGGTCTCTCGGACCAGGAGCGGTGTCAGCCAACATTGGAGCACAGTGGAGGAGTGTTGCCGCAAGTGCGTTGCATGGCAGCAGCAGCTGGACGGTGGACAAGACACTGTTTCAACGTCTCCGAAGATGGGAATTACGCTGCGCGCGCAAAATGCTATCAGGAGCACACGGCACAAGAGGCGCAAACTGCAAATATTTGTGCGTAGTAGATTAGGGAACATCGCCGAGTTGGAGGACGTCGTGATCGAGGCGTGCTGGCATACTTTGGCGCACTGACGCCAGAGACGCGACTGATTCGACCGCGGAGTGGAAGGCCTGTGGCCCATGAGTTCGTCCGCAGCATGTGTGCGGGGATCTGGGGACTGCCGCCAGGGCGCGCTCTATGAACGAGCCCTGCCGGGTCGCGGTCGTCGCTGGTAGAGCGCCCAGGCCGCGCCGAACGACCCCCCGGGTCGTGGCAAGAGTGGTTCCAGGCCTCGAGTTTAAGGAAGGTTGGGCTAGCTATGGCGACAGATTCCTCTGTTCACGAGGGTTACACAGACAATCATCAACATCATGGGCGCCATGTGGGTTCCGCCGAACGACCAGGACGACCCCGTCAGGTGGATGGACAGGAGTCACAATGTTCTCGCAGATGACTTGTGCAACTTCCATGGACAAGCGATCCTCGTGGAAGGAGGTCCGCCAACCAGCGGGCGTCATACCACGCTCTACGTGTCAACCGCGGGAAGCGGGCTGTCTGAGAGGGTGGTGGATGAGTTGCGGAGGCTGTCTTGAGAGCTCTCTCTAGTACCGCCCCGCTTGATTTAAGGAGTGTTAATTAAGTTAACACTCGTTGCACTCTGTTTCGGGCCCTCGATTTTTCGTTGTCCCTGTGTGTTCGGTCGGGTCCCTCGCTCGGCTTTGTCTGGGTTCCTGGGGTCCGTCCCTCGTCTCTTTCGGCCCTTCCTTCGGGCCCACCGCTCGTCGTTTCGGCGCCACGGGCAGGAGTGTTCGGCAGACGATCACCCGCGAGAAAATCAAAAAGAGTCTTTCATCAGCCGCCCATCCATTCCTCCATGGCGGAGGGCATCGCTCTGGAAGGCGCCTTTCACGAGCTCCAGGCGAGGGCTGGCGGAGGCTGGTGATCTGGTGAGTGGCGAATGCAACGTCTCATTTCGGAGGCAACGCCTTTCCGAGCCATGTGGGCTCAAGTTTCACCCCCTTCCTCCTCCTCGTTCCTCCTTGTAGCGCGAGTTTTGTTGCTGTCAATGTTTCATCATTGGTCATGCTGCCCGCTGTCTTTGGGTAGCATGTATCACAAACATATAGCATCAGGGGCAGCTTCATGAAGCTCTGTCCGCCACGCGACAACGAGAGAGAGAGGGGGTACATACATACATATATATATATGTAGATGTGTATATATACAGAGAGAGAGAGAGAGAGAGAGAAAGAGAGAGAGAGAGAGACAAAGGGGTCTCTATATATAGAAAGAGAGACAGAGAGACAAAGGGATATACATATATAGAGACAGAGAGCGAGAGAGAGAGAGAGAGAGAGAGAGAGAAAGAGATAGAGAGAAAGAGAGATATGTAGAGAGAGAGAGAGAGAGAGAGAGAGAGAGAGAGAGAGAGAGAAATAGAGAGAGGAAGAGAGATAACGAGAGAGAGAGAGAGAGAGAGATAAAGGAACCAAAAGAGAGAGAGAGAGAGAGAGAGAGAGAGTCATAAACAGAAAACGAGGGGAGGAGAGAGAGTGGGCGGGAGAGAGAGAGAGAGAGAGAGAGAGAGAGAGAGCGGGAGAAAGGGACAGAGAGAGAGAGAGAAAGACAGACAGAGAGATACAGAGAGAGAGAGAGAGAGAGATACATATAGAAAAAGAGAGAGAGAGAGAGAGAGAGAGAGAGAGAGAGAGAGATGGAGGCATCGAGCTGCACGGCTGAGCCCCCTCCCAGGTCAAGCTGCAGCTGTCCTGACGGCCGACGCAGTGCCTTGCGCGCATGACGGCCCTGCACGCTCACGCATCGGCGATGACAGATGGATTAAGCGTGCGGGGCGTGTTTCCAAGCCAACGTTTTCAACTGTGCGGGAAGAGTCTCCACCCTTCGACCACCGCGTCCGGCCCACCAGTCGAGTGCTTCACGCTCCCGTCCGAATCCTCCCCGTCGTCGGTCTCGTCCCTCCTCCCCATTCCCCCTACAGCACCGCTCACCCGTGGGCTCGAAGAGCCGTGACCTCTGTGCTCGTGCCTCTGAGACCAACTCGGTTGGAGAGCCTGCCATGCAGGGGCGTGTCGTTTGGGGAGGCCACGCTGCGTGGTATAGGAGGAGGAGGAGGAGGAGGAGGAGGAGCAGGAGGAGGAGGAGGAGGGGTAGGAGGAGGAGGGGGAGGAGGAGGAGGGACGGGCTCGATAGGTGGCGATTCCTTCCCTCCCTTGCAGTGCCGCCGTCGGCTGCGGCATGCGGCCGCGCGGAACTTCTAATTGGTAGACCTGCACGCGGGCGCTCGGAACCGGAGTCCAAAAGCGAGCCGACGCGACCGTGTGTTGATTGTGCGTCGCGGCTTCCAAGGCGAGTGGGGGCGTTGTAAGCATGCGGATGAAAGAGCCTTCGATCATGATCATGTGTGTGTGTGTGCTCTCGTGGTGTGAGCGCCGTTCGCCGATGGCGAGCCTGCTTTGCCGCCCCCCTTGCGTTTGCCATCAGCAGCTCCCATTCTCAGATGCACTTGTCGCGCAGGGTGCAGTCGCGAGTTTGTGCTGATTAGTGCTTTGGTGCCAGTGCTCTTGAGATGCAGCCGTTATGCATTGATGCATTCGGTGCGTGATGACGCCTCTTGTCCCCCTGGCGCATAAATGGTGACAACCACATGATGTTGGCGCGTGGACAGGTCAGGTCAATCAAGCCTTGTACAAGACGGCGCGTGGACACCAAACCGTTAGAGAGCGAGATAGAGAGAGAGAGAGAGAGCTTGCAAACCGCAATTTTGCCCAGGTCCTGTAGGGCGTGGCCCCATGGACGACCACCGCAACCCTGGCAAAGGGGCAACAGGGCGGGGTCCTGTAGGCTGGACTCCATGAACAATCGTCGCAAGCCTGGCGCACTGCAGCAGCAAAGGCCAGGACCCCATGGCCAGGACCTAAAGGGCAGCCATCGGAGCAGCCAGCTGCCCCCATCACGCCAGGCAGCGAGCCTCTCGGCACCTGCAGCCACCGCAGCAAACAAGGGGAACAACAAAAAACTGGGCTCTGGGCAGGAGCCTACGGGCAACCACCACAAGTGTGGCGCACACGGGAGCTACAGCCAGAGCTCCATGGGCATGAGCAACCAACCCTGGCACGTAGGCGCCATCAAGGTTGGGACCCCGTGGGTTGGACCATGAGTCGCCACCAACCCTGGCGCACGGGCAACTGAGGCAGGGACCCTATGTGCGGTACCCTGTGGGCAGCCACCAACCCTGGCACAGAGGAGCAGCGAAGGGCAGAGCCCCACGGATAGGACCCTGCTGGCAACCATCGCAAGCCCGCAGCTCAGGGGTAGCTCAGGTCGAACACTTTATGGGCACCGGGCAACCACCGCAACCCTGGCACTTTTTTGATCCGCGGGTCGAGAGCGAGCCTCTTCCGATAGAAGCTAAGCGGGCCACGCACAGCTTTGATCAGCAGAGGGGGGGCAAAAGAAGGCGGGGCCTCACGTCAACCCTGGCACACGGGCGGAGCGAAGGCCGGGACCCCCCTGGGCGGGGCGGGACCCGCCCGACGGGCAGCCTCCGAGCATGCCGCACGGGCGCGGCGCCAAGGCCGGCAGCGCACGGGCTGGACCGTACGGCCGACCTCGAGCCCGAGCACGCAGCGAAGCCCTTCGACCCGATGGGCGGGACCTCTGCGGGCAGCCGGGCGGGCCCCTGTTGGCAATCAGGCTGCGGGCCCTGGCGCAGAGGGGGGGGAATACGAAGGCTAGGAGCGCGTTGGGCACCCCGGGGCGATCACCAAAAGCCTCGCGCACGGGAAGCTCTCCTCGGGATCCGAGGGCAGAGCGCCTCCATGATCGATTTCCCCCATCAGGATCGGGCTTGGGTCTAGGGGAATACAAAGTAACATAAACATAAAAACTCGGAGGTCCGCGCGGATTTCTCGGATCGGCGCTGGGGGCCCCCCGGCGGCGCCTCCGGCGCCGCCCCTGGCGTGCTCCGCGCGCCAGGGAGGGGGGTCCAGCGCCGATCCGAGAAATCCGCGCGGACCTCCGAGTTTTTATGTTTATGTCACTTTTTGTTCCCCTAGGGTCGTTGCTTGTCATGCCGGATTCATTCGTCACACGCGGAATGTGAGTCTCGGTGCGTGTCTATACTGGTCGTGGCCGTGTGCAGTTCGTCGCCGTGTCAGAGTCACGTCGCCCTTCGCGCGTGCACGTGCCACTCCATCGCGTCACATTTGTCACACTACATTGCCCTAGAATGTGCCACACAGCGTGACACGGCACCGCCACTTGCAAGCATATGCGTTGCCGGTTGAGGGGTGAGGCCGAAGTGATCAACTGGTAAGTCGATTTGAACTCGTTTCGTGTCAAGTGTGTGGGCGAGGCGAAGCTGCATGTGGACGGGCGGGGTCCTGGCCTACTTGGGGGTGGTTCGTGTCAGATTGCTTCGCCCCCGTGTGCGCGCGAGGGGGGCCAGGTTGTCCGGGGTAGTCCCGTGATTGTCCTCGGGTTGCCCCATGGTTGTCCCGCCGTTGTCCCGTGATTGTGCCGTTGGATGTCGTGCGGTTATCGTGTGATTGTCCCGATTTGAGCAACGAGAGATTTCTTTTACGAGGCTTTCTGGGTGGCCAGCGCGACCGGCCGAGACCAAATTAGGAACCCGCACAAGGACCAACAGCTACCTCAGATCTGGCACGCCGTGCACCTCTGTGGCAAGCCAACAGGGGGTGGTGGATCGAAGACGCCTACGGCGAATCACCGTCGCCCCCTGCCTTTTGGATTCGCCCATGTGGCCGAACGATGTGGCCAGAGCTCTGCCAAGCTATCCGACCATGTGTTCCCCCAGCCGTTGTGGAAACCCTTCGGGGAACGCGGGGGAGAAAGAAGAAGCGGAGGAGAGGGAGGACAAATAGAGAGGAGGACTTCCTGGGAGCTTCCTAGGAGCCCTTTGGAGGCATCTTGGAGCCCTCCTTGGGCCTTTGGGGTGCCTTTTGGGGCTTCTTGGGGGCCTCTCTGGCCGTCTAGGGCGTTCCTGGCCCGTCTGACGCTGTCGGAAGCCGTCTTGGGGGCCGCTCTGGCCCGCCTTGGTCCTCTCTTGGGGCGCTTCAGGGCCGTCTCGGAGGCCATCATGAGCGTTCTGGGGGCCTCTTGGGCCGTCTTGGGGCCCTTGTGGGGCCGTCTTGGAGGCTTGTTGGGCCGTCATAGGGGTTATCTTGGAGGCCTTCATCGCAATCTTGGAGCGATCTTGGGGCCCTCTTGGGCCGTCTTGGGCCGTCGGAAGGCCGAAAAGAAGCAAATGCCAAAATCATTCAACAACCAACGGTGAATCACTGATTTCGGCCTTTTGAGGACCTCCTGCAGGACCTCTTGGAGGCCTCTGGGGCTGTCTTGGAGGCCTCGCGGGGGCCTCTTGGGCCGTCTTGGCCCGTCTGGGAGGCTTCTGAAGCGGACTTGGAGGCACCTCGGACCCTCTTTGGCCGTCTTGGGGGCCATCTTGGACCATCCTGGGCCATCTTGGAAGCCATCTTGCACTCTGGGAGGCCATCTTGAGCCGTTTTTTTCCGGGACGTTGCGGTGCTCTCTTGTCCCCTCGGCCGCAGCCCCGGAGGGGGAGTTCTTTTGGAAACGGACCCAAAGCAAAAGTGGTAGGGCTCACCACGCCAGGCACCCCTGTGCTAAATCAGCAGAGGGCGGCGGATAGAAGGCGCCTGCGGCGAAGCACCGCCGCGCCCCGCTTTTCGGAATCGCCCGTGTGGCCGAGCGCTGTGGCAAGGGCTTCGCAAAGCTCTCTGACCATCGGCGTCACCCCAACATACTGATACTACGTGTGCGTCGCCCCCCCCCCATTGGCGACGCGCGCACCGAGACAGCTTATAGTATATGCGCCGTGGCGGGCGCTTTCTGACCACACCGCTCGGGAAACGATACATTACAAGATGGGTATACTATATGTTCGGGTCGGACGCGCGCCTCCAAGGAGGACAGATAGTACTAGTATGTTTCTGTGCGTCCCACGACCATGGGTTCCCCAGCCGTTGTAGAACCCCTTCGGGGAGCATTTTGGAGAGGATGGCGGGGAAGATCAGGAGGAGAAGGAGAGGACGAGGAGGACGACGAGGAGGGGGCATCTTGGGAGCCTCTGGGGGCACTCTTGGGGCCTCCTGGGCGCTTCCTGGGAGCCTCTCGGAGGCATCTTGGGGGCCTCCTTGGGCCTCTTGGGTTCCTGGCACGTCTGACGCCGTCGGGAGCCGTCTTAGGGGGCCTCTCAGAACCGACTTGGGGTCCTCTTGGGGCGCTTCGGGGCCGTCTTGGAGGCCATCTTGGGCGTCTTGGAGGCCTCTTGGGCCGTCTTGGGGCCCTTGTGGGGCCGTCTTGGAGGCTTGTTGGGCCGTCATAAGGGGGCCATCTTGGAGGCCCCTTGGGCGATCTTGGGGCGATCTTTAGAGCCTCTAGGGGCCGTCGGAAGGCCGAAAAACATATGCTAAAATCCTTCAACAAGGCCCTCTTGGGGGCCTCTTGGGCCCTCGTGGACCATCTTGAAGCCATCTTGGGCCGTCTTGGGTGCATCTTGGACCGTCTTGAGCGCATCTTGGGCTCTCTAGGGGTCATCGTGGCAGTTTTTGAGGCGTCTTGGAGGCATCTTGGAGGCCATCTTGGGCCATCTTGGCTGTCTTAGAGGCCATCTGGGCAGCGGGAGACGAACTTTGGGAACCTTTCCGGGTGGCCGGCGCGCTGGGCCGAAGCCCCAGGGTGAGTTTTTTTGGAAAAGAACCAACAACAAACCGAGAACCAGATTTCGCACGCCAGGCACCAGTGTGGCAAGCCAACAGGGGGCGGCGGAACGAAGACGCCTACGACGAATCATCGCCGCCCCCTGCCTTTTTGGAAGCGTCTATGTGGCCGAACGTTGAGGCCAGATCTGCCAAGCTATCGGACCATGTGCTCCCCGAATCGGTTTGGAAAGCCTTCGCGGAACACGTGGGCATCTTGAAGGGCCTCTTGGCCGTCTGGAGGCCATTTTGACCCTTTCGGGCCTTCTTGGAGGACGTATTGGAGGGCTCTTGGGCCGTCTTCGAGGCCATCTGGAGCGTCTTGGAGGCCTGTTGGGCCGTCTTGGGGGCCTCTTGGGGCCGTATTGGGCCTCTTGGGCGATCTTTGGGGGCTCTTGGGCCGTCTCGGGTCGTCGGAAGGCCGAAAAAGACAAATGCCACGATTCTTCAAAAACTCATGGGAAATCAATGATTTTGGCCTTTTCGGGTTTCCCTGGAGGCCCTCTTTGAGGCGTCTTGGGCCGTCCTGGGCCAGCTTCGAGCCAACTTCGGCCATCTTGGTGGGCTCTTGACCCGTCTGACGCCGTCGGAAGCCGTGGGGACTCTCTGGGCCGACTTGGGGCCC